CTTATCTATCTATCTATCTATCTATCTATCTATCTCATTCTGATCTTTCTATCTATCTATCTATCTATCTAATCTGTTTTTCTATCTATCTATCTATCTATCTATCTTTCTTCTATCTATCTATCTATCTATCTGTTTCTATCTTATTCTATCTATCTATCTATCTATCTATCTTATTCTGTCCTTCTATCTATCTATCTATCTATCTATCTATCTCATTCTGTTCTTTCTATCTATCTATCTATCTATCTATCTATCTAATTCTGTTCCTTCTATCTATCTATCTATCTATCTATCTAACTATTTTTAAAAAAAGCTTTGTCTTCAAAATCTTTATGCTTTTATTCAGATGAAAGCCCAGAGGATTCTTTGATTATTAAATTATAATTTTTTATTAGGTAGTTAAACATTATATGAAAAGGCCATTCACTTTATATTTCTCGAGTAAATTTTAAAGATATATCTAGCGTAAAAAGACATTAGATAAATTTCCGTCTGTCCTTCAAGCTGCCAACCCTTCTACACCTAATATATACAGTTACGTCCGTGTTACAGATGCATTTCTACGATATTTTAAACTTAAATTAAATATTTGTTTCAAATTAAACTTTAAAGAAAAATAACACTATTTACATTATTCGGATTATTGTCCTCATCTTGGTCGCCATATTTATTACAACGTTTCGGCTGTTGTACTCTCCAGCCTTCTTCAGGTGGTTGGAATGTCGAACCTAACCCCTTACTTCGCTCACTGGAGTAGACTGTTCTAGTTCCACGTGCCATGTTTAATGGATGTCAGTTATCAGTTATCTCCTGTTAATTCCCCTCTGAAAGTTCTCCACTGCCTTAAGCGGGTATTGAACTCACACTCTTTGGGTCCTGTCACTGGATCTAATCAACGCCTTTATCCAATGTGCCATGTGTCCTTGAGGACATCTGGGTATTTAAACCTCATGTCATCAGCAAACATTTTTTTACCAAGTGCTCATATTGCATTTTTTATTGTTATCAACACATGTTTTTACCAGAGCTCATATTACAATTTTTGATGTTGTTATCGCTTTTCTCTGGCATTCCTAATTATTGGTTCCCATATTGTATTCATTTCTATGCTTGGTTGGCTCAGGAGATGTTTGTGGCTTAGCATACGGCACGTGGAACTAGAACAGTCTGCCCCAGTAAGCGAAATGAAGGGCTCACTTCGACATTCCAACCACCTGAAGAAGGCTGGAGCGTACAACGGCCGAAACGATGTAATAAATATGGCGACCAAGATGAAGACAATAGTCCGAATAATGTAAATAGTGTACATAATACCTCATCTCAGAAATATAGACAGATACTGAAAAAAAAATAACTTTAAATCCTCTAATGTCCCCCAAATAAAGTTTCAGAACAGTATATTTTGTTTTTGAAAGATTTTTTTTAATTGCGATGACTGATTTCAAAAAGAAAACTCCTTCCAGACAAATTAAATTAGCTTTGAAATACAGCATAATTTTTTTCTCATTGAAATATTAAAATTTAATCGATTAAATATTATCTGTTATATTTTATCTATTAGATATTAAATTTAATCTATGAAATATCTATTAAATATAAAATTTAATCTATTAAATATCGATTAAATATTAAAATTAATCTTCCTTGAAGCTTTTATTTTAGTTTTAATTTCATTAAAACTAAAATAAAAGCTTTATGAAAGGTTTTTCATTTTTAAATATTCATTTTTAAACCTTAGGTATCGCGAATCTTTAGTTGTAGCAAAAGATGTATTCTTTTATACAAATGAAATAGTTTTGTTGTAATTCTGAATTTTCTCTTGTTGGCGAAGGGAACAAATTATGCAGGAAAAATAATTCAAAGATTTGTCTTGAAAATAATAGAAAACTAAGAATAACAACTTACGTTTCATTACTGGAGTAAATATTGGTTATTTCTATTTACAAGAATCTGTAAATAAATTCCTGAAAACCGGGAGACACGAGAAAACAAAAACGAAAAGACGAGGAAGCAGAAAACTGCTTTCAAGACAAAAAATGATTGAACGTGAGTCATGAAATTAGATTAAAATTATAATATTCTTCCAATATTGAAAGTAAGCTCACTCTGCTCTTCTATCTATCTATCTATCTATCTATGTATCTAAGTTTAAGTGAGATGTCAGAATTATGTCCTTTTTGTACATCCATACCAAAAAGAATCTAACGTTTGCTAAAAGGAAAAATAATATAAATTTCTTTTAAAAATGGTTTACACTCAAAAATGGCATTAAAATTTACATTTTTAAAATCTTCAGACATGTCTTTATTTACTAAAATCATGGAAGACTCAATTCGCAAAAAATATTTCTTGTGTTTTATAGAATTATTTTTGTTAAGATGAGGGCCAAACTTTTAGTATGGTCACATTTGGTATCGCATAAAATGTTTACTGAAATAATATTTTCAGAGATTTTTCTTTAAGAACGAAGTTAAATTAATGTTTGCTGACAGAATGCATCAGCGTATAGCATCTAGGAAGTTCGGTTCAAGAAATTGTCGACTCTGCAAGAGTGTGCTGACCAACAGCAAATCCGCATTCACTCCTCTATTCAACCAATTCGAAGTCCTTACATTCACTTCAGATAAGGCTGAATTATTTACATTATTCGGACTATTGTCCTCATCTTTGTCGCCATATTTATTACAACGTTTCGGCCATTGTACACTCCGGCCTTCTTCAGGTGGTTGGAATGTCGAACTGAACCCTTTATTTCGCTCACTGGGGTAGACCGTTCTAGTTCCACGTGCCATGTTTAATGGATGCCAGTTATCACACATGACACAGTGGATAAAGGCGTTGGTTAGATCCAGTGATAGGACCTAATGAGTGTGAGTTCAATACCCGGTTAAGCGAGTGGAGAAGTTGTAGAAGGGGAATTAACGTGAGATAACTGATAACTGACATCCATTAAACATGGCACGTGGAACTAGAACAGTCTACCCCAGTAGTAAGTACCCTAAAAATCAACCGTCTACGAGAGACTCGAGGAGAGACGAGTTAGCGAGCCGACACAAGCACATCCGACCTTCCAATTAGTGACACTCATTACTAGATTAACCTGTGTGTATAACTGTACCGTATTTCATATTGTACTTGTTGTGTACAATAAACCTTTCTTCTAGTATCCACCCGGTGTTATGTGTTTATTCCCTTAGCACGGAATATAACAATAGTATTTATAAATATGTTTCTCTGAATATAATTAATAACCATTTAATTCAAATCTCTTAGGTATTTTACTTTAAATTTCTTGGTTAATTATGTAAAAAGCCTATGAAAATTTTTTCGCTAATTTTGAAATTTGTAGAAATGTTTCTTTTTAATATTATTTACACATAATTTGTTGAATGGAAAATACATTTGCATTGGAATTTTGCGCGTTGACAGGATGAAACGGAATTGTATTCCAGTTCACACTGAACTAATTACACTTTATACCGCCCCTCCTCAAATGACATACTAATGTTAAATCTGAAGTCGGCACAACAAAATAATCTCTAAATAAGATAACGATATCTCTTGATTTTAACCCGGAATATTTTTTTCCATTTTATTTGTGATTTTGTTTGTAGGGCTTGAAGATTGGGAGCTCTCATGAAATAAAAATTATTACCTATGGGATTTTAAGCGTTTGATATTCTTTAACAATAATTTTTCTCTGTCTTTTGATATAGAGCTTTTCCTGGATATATACCCTCCTGGAAATTCCATACGGATTACCATATTGTATCAATACTCTCTCTCTATATATATTTCTTACAAAAACCTATAATTATGGCGGAAGAGTGGGCAATGTCATAGACAGATTTTGTTTTTAGTTATCAACAGTGTAGGCCTATAAATAAAGCCTATTTCTATGTACATACTATCGATCTATTTATCTATATGAAATAGCCGCAACGGACATATATATAGTAATATATATATATATATATATATATATATATATATATATATATATATATATATATATATATTATAATAAACGTGCAATCAATTTACAAATACATGAATTATTCACACAAAACTAATGCAAAGGTTAATGATTTAAATGGCGAGACATCCATCATCGCAAACAATTCAAATAGTATACAAAAACCTCCAGATCCGTTATGAATGAATTGATCCTTGTTTATATAAATTTCTGCCGTATTAGTTGTTATTTTTACTACAAGCTTTCGTCTGTTCCTACAGACATCTTCAGGTATAGAATAGATGTTGTTCTTGTTTTTTTCTCTTAGTAATAAGAGGACAGCGAAAATATATGTGTTGTTGTATCCGAAAATGCTATTGAAAAAGCCATTTAAATCATTAACCTTTGCATTAGTTTTGTGTGAATAATATATATATATATATATATATATATATATATATATATATATATATATATATATATACGTAGCATTGATCGTTAGGCACATTTAAAAATATGTTTTCTAAAAGAAATTCTCTTCCTTTTCTTTTGCCTAGGGTCACAGGCACTAATAGGAACGAACCTCTCACCAGCCATTCAGTGAGTAGGAATTTTCCCTCTTGTAGAAATGTTGGCATTTGGAGTCAGATTCTCTCCTTAGCAAAAGACGTACGTCATCCACCACCGTCTATTTTTCTTTGTTTTTTTTTATTGCAATAAATATTTCATGCAATTTCTACCAGTCAAGTATTAATATTTGCTTTCGTGTTGTTTTGTTTAAAACATTTGAAAGATGCAAGAGATAACACCATGGTAGATATCAATTCTTTCTTTCTTTCTTTCTTTCTTTCTTTCTTTCTTTCTTTCTTTCTTTCTTTCTTTCTTTCGTGTTGTTCATATGCATCTATCTATCTATCTATCTATCTATCTATCTATCTATCTATCACTGCTTATAGCTACATCTATTAATACCTGTCTATCTCTGTAGGCCGGTTTATATCTACATATGTTCATATGTATGTATGTATGTATGTATGTATGTATGTATCTATCTATCTTTCTCATTATCTATCTATGCATCTCATTATCTATCTATCTATCTATCTATCTATCTATCTATTTCTGCATGCTCATTATCTATCTATCTATCTATCTATCTATCTATCTATTTATCTATCTCATTATCTATGTATCTCATTATTCATCTATCTATCTATCTATTATCTATCTATCTATCTATCTATCTATGCGTGTTTATATCTACATCTGTTCATATATACGTATCTATCCAGACCTCTTTATATCTACACCTGTTCATATCATATGTACGTATCTATGTATCTGGGCCTGTTTATATTTACATCTTTTCATATCTATCTATCTATTTAATCAAGTAACCAGTGAACAAGCTGAACCATAGGTATAAAGATTGCATTAGCATTACAACGAAGAAGGTCAACATAAAATGATTGGAAAAATTAACTCTAGATGTGCATTTAATGAGGAATGCAGTGCACACTGGTCACAGAGATTTTGAACCGAATCGTGTTGTGCGTCAAAAAAGTCAAGTGTGGCGTTGGTAAGGCTCTTGATATTAATTTCCCTAAAAAAATATTGTTTAACGTCGTAGTGAAAATGGCAAGGCCAGTCTCGGTCGGCGAGCCTAAGATATCAGAATCACATCACAGATACAGAGAATGTGGCATTTATGTAACAACTACTGCAAAAGACACACAGCGTCGTCACTCAGGTGCGAGGCGATGTTAGAACGTAGCAGGACTAAAAAGGCAATATTTGAAGAGAGATCAAACGACAGTTATGTTCGAAATTGAGTCTCAGTTATCTATCTATCTATCTATCTATCTATCTAAGTTTATTAAGATTGATTTAAGTTTATTAAGATATGATCTATTTAAGTTTCACTTTTAAAATCTAAGTTTATTAGGATCTATCTCATTTATAAGATCATCTATCGATCTATCTATCTATCTATCTATCTATTGAAAATATTAAGTCATCTATTAGGATCAAGATCAATTTATATCAGTTTATTAAGATCTATCTATCTATCTATCTATCTATCTATCTGAGACTATTAAGATCTATCTAGTTAGCTATCAAGATCAATTTATATCAGTTTATTAAGATCTATCTATCTATCTATCTATCTATCTATTTTATCTATCTATCTATCTATCTTAGTCTCTTCATATTTCTTTATATTTTCATGTCTCGTTCGTTACCTATTGGCCTAAATCTGTTTCTACATCTATGTTCATGGAAAAATCAATTGAACATTTATTGTTTATATGATTTACACCTTTTGTAATTACACTGGAGGCTAATCTCAGATGCCAGTGGCAACATTTTTTGTACAAATTAGATTAACACAGACATCCTTTGGTATGCCTATCGATCAGATTATTATTATCATACACACAAAAGCAGACCTCTCTCTCTCTCTCTCTATATATATATATATATATATATATATATATATATGAAGATTTCTCTGATTTAACCAGTAGCGAAGACAATATTTATGAATAAAAATGACAATAGGAAAATGGTAATTGCTGAAGTGTTTCTTCCAATGTAGTTTTTATCAAAGCAAAATACGAAAATTTTCGTATTTTGCTTTGATAAAGTCCGCATTGAACGAAACGCGTCAGCAATTACTAGTTTTCCTATTGTCATTTTTATTCATAAATAAATATATATATATATATATATATATATATATATATATAATAAAAATGTTAAACACTAATATTCCATGGTCGTAAATACGATTCCAATGGAATAAATTATGACCATGGAATATTAGTACTTAAGCCTTTTTATTATATCCTTACTCTGTCCTGGACATTGAGTTCTACCTGGATTCTATCCTCTTGAATTTTTATTCTAAAAATATACATGTATGGGTATTTATATATTTCTGCATACGTATGTATATTTACCACTAATATTATATATATATATATATATGTATATATATATATATATATATATGTGTGTGTGTGTGTGTGTGTGTGTGTGTCCTAAGAGGCAACTAATATCCAGTCTTTGAAATATGTTGTGTGTGCTTGAGCGCAAGCTGTTGTCGCTGGCAGGTTATAAAAGCCATCTGAAAGTCAATCATAACACACAGAAGCAAGGCAATTATGCCAATGTGCCTCATCGAACCGCCGACAATACCTTTGTTGTTTGCAACCAGGTTTGCAGATCATCATCTGGACTGAGAATAACCATGATGGTACACATGAGATTTGTAGGGCATGCAGATACAATCAACTCCATCAAGGACACATTATTTCATATATTTCTGATACATATTAAATCGAACGCTGGTTTCAAGACTGAAGCCATGACAAGTGATGTGAGGGATCGGATGCCGACTCTCCCCTGAATAAGATGTAAGATGTGGCAATCTATATATATATATATATATATATATATATATATATATATATATATTATAATTTTTTATCTTATAGACAAAAGCAATTTACTCACTACAAAGATGCAACTTCGTTTCGGTGCATTTCAATTGCACCTCGACTGGTGAGAACCAAAAATGGTTATCTGTAGCCCCGATAATTACTTGTAGAAGAAACATACATAGAAAAAACTATAGATAAACCCTCAATATTTTCATTATTTCATCCACAACGCTAAGAGAAAAGCATACAAAATGTACACCTGCCAAAAGGTCCTGGCGGCTGCGTTTAGCATGAAACAGTCTGTCACCTCTGATTGTTGACATCAATGTTCACTTTTATAAATATAAAAGTATTGAAGTCAACATTTAGAGGCGACAGGCTGCTTCATGCTAGACGCAAATGTCAGGCCTTACGATTGCATCTGGCATGAAGCAGTCTGTCGCCTCTAAGTGTTTACTTCAATGTTCACTTTTATATTTATACACGCTCTATCTCTGATATTGAGCACTTTATTCCATAAATATAGCACACCTTAAGAGTATATTTCTTCATATATATATATATATATATATATAAATCGATTCTCCCGTCGAGGTTCGACGTATGAGGGTCAAGCAGATCAGTTTCCAGGAAGCTGACAGCCCGACACCGGCACATGAGATTCGATTATGGTGGTGAAGGTTTCGTGCAAAACCATCCACTCCAGGCACGGTGGAGTAATGGATATCGGCTTGGATTGTGGAATCGCAGAGCCGAGTTCGTATCCAGGTTGAATTCATTACATTCACTTACGTGTTAATACCCTTGGGAAAGGTGTGAATACTATTCTTCTCCCTCCAGCTATGGGCTAAATAGCAGGACAGACAGGGTTCTATAGCCTTGGATGGCAACTTGTCTAGGAGAAGGAAAACTCTGAATTCAAAACCTGAGGGGGGTTGTTTGGGGATCTTGTGGCACGTAGTGCACCAGGTTTCTGTATTCGGCCCTTCAAAAAGTGTGGATATATATATATATATATATATATATATATATATATATATATATATGTATATAATTGTGCTTTGAACACGACCACAATAATAAAAGAAACGTTACTATGACTCTAGATAAGCACATATAAAATGTACATATTCAGCTAAAATAAACATTTTTGATAATGGCTAATAGAATAGCCGAAAGCGCTCGCATATGCAGCATCTACTGACAGTTTTTCCCCACTTTGTCGAGAAAAGAAAACACTTATACAAACACAAGAAAATTTGAATATAAAGCTTAATCGCAGTAACTTGTTAGTCTTCTTAATATATATATATATATATATATATATATATATACAAGTATATAATTGGTGTATACGGAATGAATTCCAATAACCAACAATTACTATTCTTAAAAGAGTGCTCAATACAAATTAGAGCAGATATAATTGTTATTTATAAAAATATATATATATATTTATAACATAAATATGTTATAAAATCACTACAAAAATAGCCATTTTGTTTCAACACCCTCGGTGTCTTATCAAGTGATGATATTGAAGATAAAATAAATGGTTTTAAAAGTTTCAAATTAATTAACGATCCTTCACTAGGGGGAAACATTGTTACAAAAGCTAGAATGACCAATCAAAATCCAAGTATAGGAAAATTCAAAAGCTTGACAACGAAATCATGTTATAATAGCTATTCAGATCTTTAAAATACGGGTAATATTAAAAAGAATTTATTCTAACCAATAATTATTAAATTATATGATAAAATTTGATATTAAAATTAAAAACTGCCAATTTTAAAATCCAAATTTAATCACTATTAATTTTAAAATTATTGAGAAAAGAAAAAATACATATGTTATTCAATTCATTTCTTCGTTGAAATTACGTACGACCAGACGCTACAATATCCGGTCATTTGACAATACATGTATATATATTTTAATCCCAAGTGGGTGAATGGGGTCTTAAACTCACGCGCAAAACAACAAAAACACAATCAGATTATAATACATAAGCACCCAGACATATTTAGATATATATACACACAAAAAAGCGAAATTTCTTTCATCACTTCTGATGTCTTATCAAGTGATTGTGTTGAATCATACTTATTATAAAACCCAGGTTGTGTGTGTGTGTCTGTTCGTTTATATATTGGATCGAATTTCCTACATTTTTCAACAAAAGTTCACATGACTACGAAAAATTAGCTTGTGGTGGTTTTGACAGTGCCAAAAATTGGAAAAACACAATTAAAAACACAATTTGCACGAAACCAATTCACGATTAAGAGACATCGCTGTCGCGAGAATGAAAGGTGCACCGAGTTATACTTATTATAAAACCCAGGTTGTGTGTGTGTGGGTGTGTGTGTGCGCGTTCGTTTATATATGGGATCGGATTTCCTACATTTTTCAACCGATTTCAACAAAACTTAACTTTTTTTTGGCAGGTAGTGTTTCTTATTGGCTTGCACACTTTTTTCTTTATTTTTACATTCAGAATGCTTTAAAAATTTCATTTACAAGACAATTGTTTGTAATAAAATTCTGTTCAATCGGTAGACTCATGACGATTGAAAACAATGTTTTTGTTTGAGTTTGGCTTTGACCAATTCGTAAAAAAAAAAAAACTAATTAAGACATGCGTGTCTGTCAACCTTAAACAATAATCTTTGTCAATTTTATGATGGTCGATACTTGATCTATCTCTTACTGTTACAACGCCGGGCTCTACTCCTAGTATAGAATAAAGGGTTTTCTCTTTATTCTATATTAATGTTAAAATTTTCGAATAAATAATTATATGAGAAAGAACAGTAAGACATATAATCAGGTGTTCTTATTGATATTTTTTATTTTTACAAAACAGCGCTCAATGTAAATTTATAGGGCATATAATATATATATATATATATATATATATATATATATATATATATATATATTTGAAAGCAAATTTTCCTTTTCATCCAGTTTGCTAAAAATGCGAAATTTTCTGAGATTTGACGGCTATACCTCTTTCATATTCTGTTTGCGAAATGGCATGATTTGCGGAATCTTAAAAAATATAATCAAATAAATGAAATAAGTCAGGAAGAAGGAAATGCGATTGAAATTGTAGAAGCCTCTCAGCTTTTTAATAAGGGATTGCTTTGGGACCCCAACTGACTGATCAGTGTATCAGCATATCATAGTATTTATTGTTTTACCTTCAAAGAAGATGCCTTTTTCTCGCGTTGGCACTGATTATTATGGGAGCGTGACGTGCAGAGAAATTTATAGAATGGGCGTAATTAATCAAATTATTGTTTTCCCACGAGTCACCAGCAGAGGAACGAGCTAATAACCGCATTAAGGCCGAATTGAAATTACTTCATTCAATCGAAGTGGAAAATCATTAAGAAAAAAAGAATTAAAAAAAAGATGAGGTAAACTAAGCTACCAAACAAACTACACAAAATAAAACTAAATAATTCGACATTTATTCATTCATAAATTATACAGAATATGAACTTTGAGAAAAATCTAAATATGACGAAAACGATTCATCATAAAAAAAAAACAGCTTCTTTGAAGTGAATATTTTTTAGCGTTTACCTAAATATAAACTGTTACTGAATATATAATCTGTTACTGAATATATATATATATATATATATATATATATATATATATATATATATAAAATAATCGACTCTCGTCGAGATTCGACGTATGAGGGTCAGGCAGATCAGTTTCAGGAAACCGACAGCCCGACACCGGCACATGAGATTTGATTATAGTGGTGAAGGCCTCGTGCAGGACCATCCACACTTTTTGAAGCGACGAATACAGAGACTTGGTGCACCGAATGCCACAAGGTTCCCAAACGACCCTCCGCAGG